TTCTTTCTAATTAAAAACATGTTTCATGACTGAAATATCATTACAGCTTAAACATCTATGTAGTAACAATTAATGCTTCTATATAGATAATATACAAGAGATCAATCTACATCCAATTCCCACTTACTGACACAGTTAGATTCCAAATAAGAGGTCATTATGGGAAAATCAGCATTATGGGAAAATTCAGGGTGATTGATTATATCACATCACATCACAAAATGGAGAATTACTACATAATTATAAATTTCAAATTACAACATTACATAACTGTCAAGTTACTGAGAAGCATGGCCCATCCAATTTGATATATAACCTTAACCAGCATAGCCAGCATTACTCTCACCTAGCACTTCAGCATGTTACTGTCAGGTGTATGTTCAAGTTGTAAAAAAGATTTTCTTTCTTTCTTTTTTTTTTTCCAACTAATTTTGTCAATGTAAAATGTTGGAAAAGGAAACAGTCTAAAAGTGTGGAGAAGGTATACAATTAATATTATCATTATGATAGCTAGATTATCTTCCCATTGACAGAAATTTTAAAAGTCTTCACTTTTTTATTATGAAGACTTCACATGGATGGAAATAAAGTATACAGTATAAGTATCATTAGGTGTATCTCCCGTTGTCTGGTCACTTAGTTTTCATTAAATTACATGCATGATCTTTGTTTCTATTCTGGAGTCCTTTTCTAGAAATATAACAGGCCATTATCATTTTCAAAATGACAACTTTCCTTGCAGGACAAAATTGTTTTGCAGAAACTTTGATATTCTATAGACAGTGTACTTGGCACATGGGAACACAGATTATCAAAGAGGACATAAAAGTTGCCAGGCCAGTGATAATAACATAGCTTCACCTTGCTATTTTTAAGATTAAATGATACAAGGGTTTTTTTTACTACAATTTCCTATTAAGCAGAACTAAGCTGGTGTGGCGCACCCTGCAAAGCCGTTTGAACTTCAAGGTTGGCGGTTCAAGCTCACAGGCCGCTCGCTCCTCAGAAATCCTATCCAGGGTAGCTATGGGTCAGAACCGACTCAATGGCATTTAAAAACAACAAGCTTAATTTCCGTTAATTTGCACCACTTAAGATTTAGTCATTGTTTTCGAGTAATGGCCATTGATTTTTACATGAAGAGAAAATTAAGCATAATTCTTACGAATTCGAAGATCTATATAAAATAACAATACTCATCAGTACAATTAAGAATTGTAACCAAAATTTTATGTTCATGCACAACATACACACTGTTTCTGTGAAAGAACATTTGTAGCTTTCGTAAGATTTTTAAAAGGTATACAATTCAAATTCTAGCTTAAGTTTAATGTTCTGACTCCACATTACATAACTTTTTTAGTTGTGTTTTAAATATATGTTACCAGATTTATTTTCCATTATCAAAACCTCTACTAGTCTGGCCATCTGGTCTAATGTGGAGGGAGGCATGCGAGAACTTCCAAACTTGCAGATAGTACTCATGTGACCTAGCCTGGATATCATGCTGACCAGATAAAGAAGTCTGGGATAAAGTATAAATTGCTACAGTTTTATGAACTGGACCTTTACTTATGGATGTAATTGCTCAAAATTTCAACTGAAAAGGAAGGAATCTTCGTATCAAGGATCAAACTTGCTTCCTTACTACAGTGGGTTGATAGGGATGGGCAACTTAAACACTGGCTATCAAACATGGGACTACAGTGGAGAGTGAAGCATCCAGCTGATAAAAAAGTGAGGAGATATGCAAAAGAATACCCACACTTGCAGATAATACCCACTTGGTCTGACTTCAATGACTGGATGATCAGTACTTGACTAGAAGAAGAAAGAGGAGTAAAAAAAGAGCAATCTGATACAATTTGATGAACTTGACCTGTACCTACCTATAGACTTGTAGCTCAAAAGAGGGAACAAATCTTTACAATGAGGATCATTCCCA